CTAGAACTTATTTAGATTTAGTATCTTTATTTATTTATTTTTTTAGAAAGTATCACAAAGGAAAAATAAATTAGTAGAACAGACTCTGGAAAATACTATTTGTGTTACTCAGTTTTACATGGCTGTGACCAAAATATCCAACAAGAACAACATAAAGGAGGGAAAATTTATTTTGGTTTAGATTTAGTTCTTGGTAGGCCAACTCCATTACTCTGGGCCCAAGCTGCAGCACATCATGGTGGGAGGGCATTGTGGAGGAGTAATGCTCCATTCATGGCAGCCAGGAAGCAAAGTGGTCAGGGAATGGGCCACAGGGAAGATGAACCCTTCCAGAGCATATCCCTCCATGACCTATCTCTTCCAGACAGGACCCACCTGCCTGCTGTTACCATCCAGTTAGTCCATTTGAACTGGGCTAGAGTGATTAGGCTACAGCTCTCTCAATTCAATCCTTTCCACCTCTGAACACTCTTACATCAACCTAGGATCTTTTGAGGGTCACTTCATATACCAACCACAACACTGATATAAAAGCAACATTTCTTAGTTGTAGGTGAAGCAGTTTAAAAGGCAGGACAAGTTTTCTAATGTTAGCCTTGCAAGCTCAATCTTAAAAGTGTCTCTCCCTCTCTTCCTCTCTCCTTTTCTGTCTCTTCATTTATGCATCACAGGTTTAGTCCACTATGCAGGAAAGCCATCCATGCAGAAAAGACTTGCTCACACAGTATGCAAAACAGAATATCTTGCTTGAATTATCATTTCTTATATGTTTGAAAATGATAGTTGATATGAGGGAAATAGTATTTTTATCTCCCACCTATAAGAATGTTATGAGAACTGAATAAAGAATGCAGGTAAAGTGCAATAAAAGTCCCATTGCCCTACATTAAAACCTATAGAATGACACCTAAAGCATGCTCTTGTAACTCACAGCTATTTTTAGATTCATTATGACGTACATCGCAAGTTCACAGTATTTTCAATTTTGTGCTATTATGTAGTTTTTAAAAGAAAAAAAAATTGTGTATTTATAGTTTCATTTATAATAATATTGCTGTTATTCATTTGCTTTCTGAAATGTTTTCTTCGGTGGGAGAAAGAAGGAAAAAGTGTTAGTAATCTGTTAGAATTTTTCTGGGTAATGGACTCTATCTGTTATTATTTGGCACATTCATTGATGTGAACAGGTCTCCTGAAGTTCATGTGTTAGAAACTTAATCTCCAATGCGATAGTTTTGAGGGGTGGGATCTTTAAGAAGACATTAAACCAGGAGGGCTGTGCTCTTGTGAATGGATTAATGCCATTTTCTTGGGAGTTTGATTGTCATAGTCAGAGTGGGTTCCCTAGAAAAAGATGAGCCCCCTTCTCTCATTTGCAAGAGTTCTTTCTTGATCTTTTCCCCTCTGACATAGGATGATACAGGAAGAATTTCCTCACCAGATGCCACAGTCTTGATATTAGACTTTGCAGCCTTCAGAACTATAAGAAACAAATTTCAAAGAATTGAAATTTGTTTCTTATGGAAGATTCTGTTGAAGAGTCCGAAGAGAACACTGTACGGAAAATCTGAGTCTTCTTAAGAGATTACTTAGGTGGCTGTGACCAGAGTGCTGTCAGAAAGATGAACAGTATAAGGCAACTCTGGTGAGGGCTGAGAAATGAGGAACAGGTGTTGGAAACTAGTAAAGACCATCCTTGCTATAAAGCAGCAAAGAACTTGGATATATTGTGTGCATGCACCAAAACTTTATGGAAAGCAGAATTTAAGAGCAATGAACTAGATTACCTGATGGAAGAAATTTCTAAGCAGAAGGTTAAAGGAGCTACTGGCTTCTTTTAACTGCATACAGTAAAATGAGAGAAAAGAGAGATGCTTTAAAGACAAAATTAATAACTCAAAGGGAAACGGAATGTAAAAATTTGGAAAATTCATAGCCTGCCTATGTAAAGAATGAAGAAAACAAAAAGGGAGCAAGGACACAGCCAAGTGATGCTTTGATAAAGGGATTAGCATGGCTAGAAGGGAGCCAGGTGCTGTTCATCAAGATAATGGAAGAATGACCCTGAAGGCATTTCAGAGATTCTCAAGCTGCCCTTCCTATCACAGGCCCAGAGCTCTAGGACAGAATAGTTTGGGAGGATGGGCCTTGGGTGCCTTCCATGGGCTTGCTGCCCAGCACCAGTGCCTCGGGATTCTGCTCTGTATTTTGTTTTTCAGTGCAGCTTGCCCGCCCCAGTTTTGGCAAAAGTGGCCTCAAGTGCACCCTGGGCAACCTTTCTGGAGGGCACAGGTGGTAAGCCTTGGTGGTGTCCGTGTGGTGCTCATTCTGCAGGCATGCAGAGCACAAGAACTGTGGGCACATGGCTTCTTTCACTTCTTCGAAGGATTTCACAGACAGTTTGGGAGCCAAGCAGAGACTTCTTGCTACAGGGACATAGCATGGACTTAATAGGATATATTCCTCACACTTGTTCTCGATGTTTTGGAATTCAAAAGAATGGAGTTACCTGCTTAAATGCAGGTATTCCAACTGGAGCTCTGGGATTATGCTGCTGAGGTCTGTTTGGAAGCTAGCAAGTGAGCCAGAGCCAGGTCTGGGGACTCTGACCTTGCTGTTAAAGCTAACTCCATGGAAAGCTGTTAGATGGTGACCTGAGTGACTGGACTATTGAATCCATCTCGTTTTTTAATTCCAGAGGCATACCAAGCAAACAACCCTACAGTCTTAAAGGTGGTGTCTGACACTTTAAATGATTGATTCATTTCAAAGTTGAAGGCCATGTGGTCACTGATTTCTAGAGAGCCAAGTCTTGGTGGAAGGACCCTCATCATAAGGCACAGACATACAAACTAAGGGACACAGATGTATTTCTCAGAATACAGAAAAGTCTTCATGTCTTATAGGAAAACTTAATTAGAGGGACAGGTGAGAATCATAGGAGGAATCACTTGGGGGTTTGGATTTTGGCTAGTGTTAAGTCCCTCCTGTCTCTCTTTGTTTTCACTTCTTTTGCCACCATTACCCTTGTGTCTTTGAACAAGCTTTTAGTGAATGAAAGGCATGGTGACATTTCCTCAACAACAGTGGTGGGCAAGAAGGGACAGGACTATGGAAAGGAAGTCAAAGAGTTATAGCACCAGAAAGGTGCTATCCTTTGACTATTTACCTTAAGTCTGCAACTTAGGGCTACCCAGATGCATCTAAATATATCAGTGTTTGTGCCTCTCCCCAAATCATTACTAACAGGATCTCTGTGTGCGAGGCCCAGGTACTTTATAAAGCTCCTTGGGTCATTATTCTAAGCAGCTGGGATTGAACTCTAGTGTTGCCTGTCAACCTAATCTCCCTCCGTCCCCCTCATCTTGCTCCTCTACCCTTTCTCTTCCTCCTCCTTCTTCAATCCAGTAGGAGACATAATATGAACCATGTCCCTAAGGTTTTGCTCATACTGCTCAGTAGAGCTTTCCAAGGAGAACGGAGCCCCAGGTAATATAACCTTGTGAGACAGATAATCCTTCTTCTCTCTTTGTTGTGTTTGCCCATAACATGGCCTGGACTACACAGAGAGCAAAGTGTAAGAAGATACCCTTGTATAAATACCCATGGCCTCAGAGGTGAAGGGCGATGTATTTTCTTCATATGACTTTGTTTGACAGTTTCTGAGCATGCTCAGATTCTGAAAGTTGATTCTATAAACCTAAGGTAATGATTTTGTTTTCCTATATTTCCTTCTGAACTTTTCTTCTTAAAGTACAAAAATCAAAATTTATTTCAATCAAGTAAAGAGGAAGAGATAATAAATGTGGCTTATTTTCTTTATGGTGTCCCCAAGGATACCATGTGGGAAAAAGAAGCATAAAGAATTTGGGGAAGAATGGAATGATGGGCAGAAGTTCATGGTCTTTTTAAAAAATATTTATTTATTTAAATTGCATTACCATTCTTAATACACCATTATATCATAATTTATCATATCTCTGATTATATATAAGGAATGTTGACACCAAATTCACACCTTTTGTATAATGATGAGGGTCTCCTTTCACTGTCCATGCTATTCCCCTTCTCCCTCCCTTTCCTCCCACCCCTATTCCCTATCTAGAGGTAATCTTCCTCCCTTGCTCTCCCTCCCAACCCCATTTTGAGTCACCCCCCTTATATCAGAGAAGACATTCGGCGTTTTGTTTTTTGGGGATTGTCTAACTTCACTTAGCATAATCTTCTCTAATGCCATCCATTTCCCTGCAAATGCCATGATCTTATTTTTTTATTGCTGAGTAATATTCCATTGTGTATAAATGCCACATTTTTTAATCCATTCATCCACTGAAGGACATCTAGGTTGGCTCTACAGTTTAGCTATTGTGAATTTTGCTGCTATAAACATTGATGTGGCTGTGAGAGTTCATGGTCTTGAATGCTCTGTATATCATCAGCTGAAAAAACTTACTTGAAAAAGTAAGGAATGTTTGATGCTTCCAAGAATTTTGTCAGATGAGAATTTTTGGGTCCATTCCATATTTTAGAAAACAGGGCTCTCACTTCATTCTCTGTTATCTCTGATAGAAATAATAATCCATCCCATCTCAGTGGGAAGAAAAGAAAGAGTCAAGAACCAACCAACACTCATTCTTTTATGAGAAATAGGAAAGAATGATGGAGAAATAAATTATTTTACCAAAGAAACCTTCAAGTGAGAAAGCAATTCTGTTTGCTTTGAGCTAACGAAGAACAAATTGGTCTAAATAATAAAGTTCTTGAGACAACATATTGGTTATAGTAATGAAAAATGCTATTAGTATCTTTCTTGTTCTTAATGCCACATTTGTTAGTAGTTAGGCATGTTGGAAGTTTTATACTGTTTGGGAATCTCAGAATATTTTTCCAGTTTCTCTTTTGCTTTCTAGAATTTTGTTCATTTTTAAAAATGTTGTGCTTTTAAAAATTATGTGTAATATGTTTTTAACTAACGTTGCCTCTTCTGGTTGTTTTGCCAGGTTGTTTTTGATCACATCCTCTATGACTGTGGCAATCAACATGAGTCAGATTTCATACAATCCCTCTCATCCTCCTCATCACCGTCATCATCATCACTATCATCAGCATGCAATCATGACTACTATATCTTAAAAAATCAAGACTTCCATATTCTATAGAAAATTTCAATGTAAATGATAGCTTTTTATTTGTTAGTTTATTATTTTTTTTTTGGATTACTAATATAAAAACCATATTTTATTCAGCCACCAGAGGGAGCTCCCAAATCTATGGATTCTAAAAGAAAATAAGGTTGAAATACATTTGGAAAAGTTATATTATGGTTGACAATCAAAAATTCAATCAGCTGAGACTCACGGTGTTATTGGCTCATCTGAAAGGTCTTCTGTACATTGAGTGCCTAAAATCCTGCCCTTCTATATTGCCACATTATTTTAATGCAGTTCTTAAATAATAGTCTTTTTCTTCTTCTTCTTCTTCTTTTTTTTTTTTTTTTTAGTTTTGGATAGTATTGACTAACTTCCTTGTTTTGAATGTATAATTATATGTTATATGTCTCCTACTACTTCTCTTTTTGGTCCCAAATTTTCTTAAATTGTATCTTTACATTGTCAAACTTACAGTATTTTACCGTAAATTTAGTGCTTACTGTGTATCACGCCTTCTCCTATCTTATTCCTTTGTTTGGATTCTTACTGACTAGATTTCATTGTCAAATTTTATTTTTTATTTATTTTTATTTGTTTACTTATTTATTTATTTACCAGGGGTTGAACCCAGGTGCACTTGACCACTGAGCCACATCCTCAGCCCTTCCTACTTTAGTTTTTTTTTTTTTTTTATTTTGAGACAGGGCCTCCTTAAGTTGCTAAGGTTGGCCTTGAAGCTGCTGGGATTCCAGGTGTGTGCCACCACATCCAGCTAATAGCTAGTTATTATTATTATTATTATTATTACTATTATTGTTTTTTAGTTTGTTTTTTTAAAGAAACGTTGTGATCTGGAATCCTTGACGTTTTCACTTTTGGGGATGACTGCTTGTTGCCTCACCTCTGTATGACAATGAAGCTAGTTATGATATTGTCAGGTCATGTTTCCTCTCCCTCATTTATGATTTGATTTTATTCCAAGAAGAATGGGGTGTTTCAATTTTTTTTTTTCTACAAATACTATGTGGGTGTGGGATGGGGAAGGAAATTATCCAACTATTTCCTGAAGGCAGAGCAAGTTCCTACAGACCTGTCTCTCCCATTACGATGGGTCCTGGATCTCCCAGAACAAGCCTCCTTTCGGATGCCAAGCATCTTAAAAGTGAGCCTCTCAGCTACATTTTCTTGGAGCTTGCCAGGACTTTCCTCTCCTAGCTTCATTGAAATATAATTGGTATATTAAAAAAGCTGCACATTTTATAATTGGGGTATATGCATACATCTGTGACACTATCACCACAATCAAGGAAATACACATATCCATCATCTCTGAAAGAGATGACCCCCAGCACCCCTCTCCACCAGATACACGTGTGTGTGTGTGTGTGTGTGTGTGTGTGTGTGTGTGAAGAATGCTTATCTTAGTGGGACAATTCCTGGGAGGGACAGTGCCTAAAAGAATTTTGCGTTTACTTATTGCCTTTGTACTCTACTTTAAAGTGTCCCAAAGCTTTCTCACACAGACATGTAATAAACCCCATTTTGTAGCTGTGGAAATTGATGAGCACAGAGGTTAAGCAAAATACCCAAGGCCATGGTGCAGATGAGTGAGAGACCTGGGAGAGGATCCAGGACTCTGAACTGCTGGGTTGACATACCGTCTTCCACGGCTTCACAGTGCTGTGAGCTGGCCTACTTCTACCCATCACACTCAGTCAGAATCAGCTATTCTAATTCCCATTTTTTATTTGAAATCAATGGTATTTCACCACAGTTACTAGAATATTGTCTCAACAGAAAACTGAATTATAAATAATGAATAGAGGTGAAATAGATTCCTTCAAAGTCAGTGTTGATCTATTCATTCTTCTTCACTTTCTTTAACCTCTTATTCTCTCCAGGCTACTTATAAACATATCCAGGTTGCTAACAAGAAGTTTTAATAAAGATACTGCCTGAATATCAATATTTTGGACAAGTAAAAAAGATATTCTATTTGATGTTGGTATAACTGTATTTTAACAAGATATTTATTTCTCTGTTGATAATTAAAAAGCTATTTATAAATAAAGTAAATAAATAAAATCATCATTTTTATTTGTATTATCCCACAAAGTATAGCCATTTTCTAACAAATACAAATATGTATTTAATAGAATGATGGATTCATGTTTTTTTTGTTGTTGTTTTGTTTTGTTTTGTTTTTGGTACTGGAGATCAAACTCAGGGGTGCTTTGCCATAAGCTACATTCCCAGTTCTTTTTCTTTTTCAGGAGGCTGAGATAAGAGGATTACAAGTTGGAGGGTCTCAGCATTTTAGCTAGATCCTCAACAACTTGAAACTCTGTCTCAAAACAAAAAATAAATTGGATTCTAGTTGTTGATGAGTCAAATGAGCTCACTTCCCTTCCTACTGAAGAAATTTAAGCAATGATCTGGTCTCCCAGACACAAAGGGAAGTCAGCAAGCTTCCTACACTGCTGTGATTGACTCCTGGGCTATTGCTGTTTTAATCTGGTTTTTCAAGGCTATGACCAAAAGACCTGACCATCATAATTATAGAAGAAGAATAATTTATTTGAGGGCTCACAGTTTCAGAGGTCTCAGATCATAGACAGCAGACTCCATTCCTCCGGGCTCAAGGTGAGGCAGAACATCATGGTGGTTGAGTGTGGCACATGGAAGTAGCTCATGTGATGATCAGAAAGCAGAGAGAGATCTCCACTTGCAGATACAGATATATATCCCAAAGCCATGCCCCTAATGACCCACCTCCTCTAGGCACTCTCCATCTGCCTTCAGTTACTACTCGATGAATCCCATCAGGTGATTAATTCACTGATTGGGTTAAGGCTCTCATAACCCAATCATTTCTCCTCCAAACCTTCTTGCATTGTCTCACACAGGAGCTTTTGGGGTTCACCTCACATCAAACTGTAACACTGCTTTCCCAGATGCAGTCACAAATGTCAAGGAATGTACCAGAGTAGGGCCCTTGATGCTGTGGCTACCCTAGAAGCATGGGACATCCCAAGCTCTACCCCTGCCTCCCACTCCATCTATTAGTCTACTGGTCCTCCACTGTCCAGCTACCCTTCCTAAGAAAGTCACAGGACTGGTTTGGTACAGGGTCCCTCATCACACACATTCTGTCCACTGCACTAATAAGGACCAGGACTGCTGCCTCCTCAGCCTACCACAAGGGGCAGACACTGACTGATAAAGTGTTTATAAAGAAACAAATTCCCAGGGAAAAGCAGGCAGATATAAAAATATAAACAAACAAACAAACAAACAAAAAGATTTAAAAAAAATAAAATTTGACATATCTCCATTGCCACCTTTAATAGCACATCACATGAGACAGGGTTTATTTCCCTCTTTTAAAAATAAACAACTCTTCATTAATGCTGAAAAAGTATGAACTTAACCTCTAAAATGGGTGTAATTTACATTTTTTTCTAGATAGCATTCACTTAGATAGATAGCAATACATATTTTGTATTTCAAATTTAATAATTTTATAAATATGTTTCACTCAGATGTCCCAGCTTTGTTATAATTCTCTCAATGAATAATTCATTCCTTAGAAAGCACCCTTTGCAAAGGAAAAAGCATGATGAACATTCATTTTAACTTCCCTTGCCAGTCAATGGTTTTCATCCTTTGCATTTTTAAAAACCTGAGCCAAGGTGCATAAAACATTCTTATTCTTAATGAGCAGAGCTATATGCAAAATTCAAAATTTTCAAGACTGTGGAAAGCATTATGAAGAAATATCATTCCTGCTGATGGCTGAGCACAGTCTTACCTACATAATCCTAACTTCAGTTTTTAGCATGGTAGTGACAAGCAAGAACTTGAGTTCAACTGCCGGGGTCTGAAATTTTGCTTCCCTACTTATGGAATTATCTTGGGCATGTTACATAATTTTTCTGTATCTCAGTTTCCTCATTTATACAGTTATAAAATGGAAATAATAATAGTATTTATCAGTTTGTTAAATAAGATCTAAAAATTTTGCATATTACTAAAAAAATATAACAGTGCACAACACTGTTTATTTATAAGGATTAAACTCAGGAATGCTCTGTCGCTGAGGTACATTCAAAGCCCTTTTATACTTTTTGAGACAGGGTCTCACTAAGTTGCCAAGGCTGGCTTCAAAATTACAATTCTCCTTTCTTTGTCTCCCGAGTCTCTGGAATTATAGGCATGGATCATCATACCTGGTTGTTAACTTGTTTAAATAAAATAAAGCACATACTTTTTCACTGCATCATTAAGTTCTAGGTCGACACTATATACTTAATTGAGTCATTTCCCCCTGACCTACCCAGAATCTTGCAGTAGAAGTCCTGAGAGTGGGATGCATTGTGGAGCTGTCGGGGGTCCCAACTTTCTCATCTACAAAATGGTGACTGTGATTTTCCTTGGAGTTGTGATGTGAAATGGAGGGAAATGGCACATGTGGAGTGCGTAGAAAAGGATCCAATTGGAAATAGGTACTTGCTAATTGCACATGAATAAATATAAATAACAGATCAGCTCAAAAAAAAAAATCACAAAGATTCAAGAAGATAAATAACTACCACAGAAACGAAAAGAATTGTTCAGAGGGTCAGATTGTTTGGGCCTTTTATTTTCAGATTCAAATTAAACTATTTCAACCCACACTTTTTTAAAAGTAAAGGAACTCTTCAGGAAGAATTTCTAAAAAATGTTATCCCTTCTTTGTTTTATAAACATTTCTTGAGTTAGAATTTTAAAATTCAATCTTTTCATAATAATAATAATAATAACTTTCTATTTCTGTTACGGTTTACTTAGATGTACATAAAACAAATGGAGATACTTGTGTGTGTCTTTCTTCTTGTGCAACTCAGTGGTGAAGCAATAACCACTCAGGGCTTTTTTTTTGTGAAGATGACTGGGAAGAAAATGAAAAGCATGGGGTCTAATTACAAGTCAGTGATTTATATGCAAAAGGGAGGTAAAATTGTGTGGTGTGTACTAGGCACCGTCTTCATTTTGACAAACTGGATTTTATGAAAACATATCTGGGGATGAGCCTTAAAAATGTCCCTCAAACACTGTGGAATGGTTGATAGATAATTTTGGAGTATATATTGTGGTGGCCTGAGAGTTTAGTGACACAGATGATTT